TCTGTGGCACCTCAATTTTGCTTCAATGTCTTCTATTCCTTGAAAGGTTTATTCCTAAAACCGTCAGATCATCACAGTCTTGATACAACATTCACTGCACACTGTTGGTAAATGAGCCGAGCTCAGCTGTGGTGGAATGACTAATTGCTTTGCATTAGAGATGTTATGTTCACCAGGAAGTCCTTGAGTTGTACATGGCTGGACATGCATGGCAGAAAGACTGGTGCTGTTCTTCTGCCGTTCACGAGGGACTGAGAACAGACCACTTTGTTATAATGGAAAAGCCATTGATCTTCTGCAGCATCTAACTCTTCTATCTAGCTCTTTGACTTTGCAAATATATGGTTATTATCAGTGTGAACCATGAGAAAAGCTTTTGGCCCTGCCTGTGACAGGAGAGCTGGAACTTCATGATCCTTGAGGTCCCTTCCAACCCAAGCCATTCTCTGACTGTATGTTTCTATGAAAAGTATGCCCAAAGTTGTACAAAGTAAAATATGTTTTCTCTCAGCTTTACCTTGCTGCCTGTACATCCAACTGAAGTCCCATCCCTCTGGACTGGATTCTGGGAAAGCCCAAGGCTGTGCCTGTCCGTAACACTGACTATTGTGATATTATTTTTCTGTGCTATTGCCTTGCAAGCATGGAGTGAAAATTGCACCTAACAAGAAAGACTGGTGGACCAGGCACTTCTCTTGTGTTTGCTGCGAGCTGGCTGCTGATGCAGATCGTTGGTTTGCTGTGGGCGTTCACTCCTCGGAGCGAGTCTTCCATGTCTCATTGTCTTCATTTTTGTAATTTTGCCCTTGCCCCGACCATTCCAAATCCAGTTTGGGTTTGGGCTGTGCAGCTCTGATTATGAGTCACAGCAATATTCTCACACATCCTAGTATATTAGTTAGGGGACCTGTGAAACAGCAGTAGGACAGAAAGTTATTAGTTGAAATTCCCAAATGAAGGCGCAAATGCTGAGGAACTTGCTCTGCTTTTATTTGCCCCAGCTGAGGCAGAAATCTTGTGCAGCATGAATAAATTGTTACCTACTAGCTAAGAGAAGGGAGTTATTTGCTGGGTTACAGCCATCAGATTTAGACTCTGGGTGCAAACTAAGGGGCTCTCCGCTTTCGGACATCCAGCCCAGTTTTGCAAGACTGCAACTTAGGAAATTAAATCATATCAATCTTGAATCAGTTTTTCTCTAGAAGTCAGGGCCCAAGCACATGGAGATCCCTTGGATGAGTTTTGATTGCAGGATGAGTGGTGGGCTTAAAATTAAAATTACAAAGAAGCCGGTGCTTCTGATGGCTTCTAGCCCTGCCAGCTGCTGCCAGATGCTAAATAAGGAGGGCCCAGGTGCTGCTAGAAGCAAGTGATGGGGAAGATAACAAGGGGGGTTACCAGCCATTCCCTCCTATGCAGAGAAGGCACTCTACATGCTTGTACTTCTGACCCCAAGATCAAGTTCCAGATAACCATGTATGTAAAGCTCCGTTATCTTTCAGAGAAACCACAAGAAGCCTAAAACTGTATTCTTTTTTTTTTTTTTTTCCATGAGGAAATCCTGTAGCAGCACTGCTCTGGCACCGTGTCTGCAGCTCTGCTACACCTCTGCTGCAATGGGTGCTGCAGGAGCACACACCAGTATCAGAAATGAGAGGGCAGAACCTTGGGAGCTGTCACCTCCACCAATCTAACAACAGTTTGCCCAGCTGAGGGCTGGCGGGGAGTGTTTGCTCGTCTGCCTTATCCATGGAAAACGAGGAGGTTAAAAATTAATCTTTGCAGCTGGCAACTGCTGTAGCGAGCTAACACGGTGGGGCAGAGTTTTTACCATTACCAGGAATGTTATGCAGCTTTGGAGTGGCCAAACAGCAGGGCACACGTGTGGTAGCTTGACCCAGACTGCAGGCACTGTGTGACCTGTGCAGAGCTAAGTGCGCCTTTTTGCACTGACCTGCAGTGCACCTTTTGCACTGACCTCTTTCATTCTGGTGATATGAAGATGTTGGCGTCCTGTGACAGTGCACTTCCATCTGCAGAATGGAAAACTGTGCTATGATGTGTATCTTTCCTTTGAATCTGCAGGATTAGAAGTACTAATAGCAGGCTATTTGAATGGTGCAGGTAACTATAAAACCTTATGGTGTATCACCCCTCTTATTAGCGGTTCTCTGTGCTTTCCTTTGGCTCATCAGTTGCAAAAGGACGCAGCCATGTGCTGCTGGAATTGGCTTGAAGCTGAACCTTGAATTTCAGGTAGATTAAAAAAAGACAATCGCTGCTGGAGGAGACTGCAGGAGATGGAGTCTAAACCTGCTGGAGCCAAACTGACACCAAAAAGAGCCAGCCTGCCACTGCTGTAAGTAGTGTAGCAGTTACCTGAACAGCTATAAAAGTGCAAATCCATAGAGGGGGCAGGAAAGAATAAAGAGAGAACTGCCCTCCCCGTCTCCTGCTCCACAGGGAATAACACGAGATGCACTACAGCAGCAAATGCTCCAAAGGGAGAGGAAAGAGCTGCAGCAGAAATCTCTGTGCAAACCACAGGGAAACAATTCTGTGTCTCCAGTTCTCTCTCATTCCAGTGCTGTGCAAATAAATAAGCTCCATGATTGCTGAAGACCTCGTGCAAACGTGCTTGCACTCTGCACTCCTGGGGCACAGGCAATGGCTTTTTGCATTGTGCGTGCAAAGCTGGTTGTGAGAGCTGTAAAAAATAAAGCAGATATTGTTGCCTATCACCTTGTGTCCATTAGATTAAGTCAACATCATTAGATAAATTCTTCCTGCAAGATAGTTCTGCAGAAAGATTCAAGTGCATACCTGCCCTGCTCAAAGTGCTAATGGTGCTCCGGTACTGGAAGTAAGTGCTTTCTGAAGGCAGTTCAGAGCCCCCGTGCAGCTGCCTGCTTTATAGCTCGTAGCTGCATGTCACCTTTGAAGGCTGCGGATGGCAGTGGCAGAGCAGTGCCTCCCAGCCGGGGGAAGCAGGCAGTCGGCACAATTCATCCCTCGCAATTAAGGGAGAAAAGCAGAAGCTGGGGAAAATTCAAGCAGTGTGTTTTAGTAAAGGACTGCTCCCTTACCTCAGTGAATTACCAGTGCCACTCACAGGGACGTGCGGGACCGATGGAAAGCACAGAAGGTAACAAGCGCACTTGAAACCGACATGAATTAACCTGTAGAAGACTGAGTTTATTGCTCTTCATCATTTACACACATCCTTCTAAAGAAAACATGATGAAAACCTTTGTGTAAATTACCAAGCCAAATGCTGTTCTTCTGTTCTGGGCTCAGAGGGCAAACCTCCCTGTGCAGAAATACCATCTTGTGATAAAATGACTAATACATGACTAAAGCCGTTTTCCACTGTGCAGGCAGAGCTCTGGGGATCAATTGTTTTCCATGGTGGATCCCTCAGACAGTGAATTCCTCTGGTGGTTGGTATGATATTCATGGCCAGGGCTCTTAGTCACCTCCAGGGAGCTGAAATAGGATGCCACTCCGGTTGCTGTTATTAATCTCGACTGCAGGTGTGAAAATTAATTTCATGGGTATTTTTATCATTTCCTTTTTGTTAAGGATTAGCGTTTCCCAATGACCCGGACTCCGGATGGAAGCAAATGCAAAGTGGTTTGCCCAGCCCCGCCACAGTGGTGAGCTAATGCTGGGGAGCAGGAGAGGAATGGGGCATGAAACTTTCCATTCCCGCTGCTGTGGACAGTGAATGCCACTGAACGATGTCAGATATCATCACAACATGCACTTCTCTGCACCGAGACTCTATAAAGCAATCCTGGAAAATGCAGGTTGTTCTCAGTTCTGTGGGAGAATAACTCATTTGCCAATACTGGGAGAAAAAAAGGCAAAGTCAAATGTATCAAACCAAATCAAATGTAGCTGTTTAGAAAGCTACAGCTCCTATTTGCTGGCACCCAGGCTGTTTTCACAAGGATTTTCTGATGGATGATGCTATATCTCCAGAGTCAAGAAGACAGCTCCAGCCACTGGGCTTCCAACATGGAGACCAGAGCTGGGGGCCAGGCACAGGAATGGGAATGGGAATGGGAATGTGAGAGCAGAGCTCACCTGGTGGAGAGGCAGGGGGTGGAAGCAGCTGGAGCCATGGCAGGGAGAGGAATACACTGTCCCCAGCTCTGCCCAGGATTAAGCCCTGGCTGCTGGCAGTGATGCTGGCTCCAGAACTGTCTCGTTTTCACTGACACCTCCTCCTGCCAAAACCCAGTGAGTAATGCTCAGGAGATAAGCAGGTTAGGCCAGATTCAGCATGATAATTGAAGGTTGGAGGTAATGTGAGATCCTTATGTGCTCCTGTTGGCATAGCCCCTTTCTGCCATAAGGCCATGCAAGCCAAGAGGCTTGTGCTGCTGAAGACCCCATCGCTTACTGCACACATTTCTATGCTTTACTCACATGGGATAAGCCCAGTGCATGGCACTCAGCCCACCACGTCAACTAATAACAAGTCTGTGCCATCTCGGGCTTTAAGACATTAAATCACAGCTTTGCTTAAAAGTTACTGAAGTCAATCACTCTTAATAATGGCCGTCTCACCCTTCACAGTCACACATCAAAACATCACCTCCATATCGTGCCCCCCCTCGCCACTCACTGGTAGTCAGCTTTGAGGAAGAAAGAGCACATAAAATTCACATTATTTCATGCTGCCACTGCTCCTTGCTGCTGAAACAACTCAATGCAGAGCAGAAGGGAGAGAAGCAGCGAGGATTTTTTGGAGCTAAAGTAGATAGAAATGCCGTGTGTGTATCACAGGGCTTTGCTGGGACAGCTCAGTGATGTGATATTGATGTAATTTTTTTCTTCTCCTCCTTTAATTAATTGTACTTTTCTGCAGTGTTCAACCTGTGCACCAGATTTTACCAGATTACCTCTCTTTGCTCACTTCAGCTAATTTGAGAACAAACACATTATATAACCCAACATCATCATCCCAGTTATAAATGACGAATTCCACCATAAAGCCTGATAAAAATCTTTATTGCAATTTCACTTTTTATATCTTTTAGACAAATAGGTTTTTGGCATCAGGGATGTCTGTATTGATTTTTACATCCAGGCCGAGCCATTCATGGAAATGAGTAAAATGGGACATGCATCATAGGGTGAGCACAGCACAAACCTGGTGGCGCCAACCTCCAGCCAGAGAGAGAAGTTCCTTCTGGATCATACGAAGTTATTTAGGATAGTTTGAGTGTTTCAGAAACACGATAAGCAAGCAGTGGAAACGATGGATTCGGCAACTCCGATGCAAAACTGAAAAGAGAACAGAGAGGGAAAGCAAGTTGCATTAGCAGAGAGAATTCTACATAAAATATACCAGAGCGGCTGGGGAACAGGAAGCCAAGATGTTCAGCTGCAAGTGGAGTCCAATTTGATGCTCAGCATGAGTTTAAAAGGAAGATTTTCTCAGCTTTAAAATAAAAGAGCAGTGGATGGGGCAGCAAGCTGCAGTCACGGGAATGGATTGCCCAAGCACAGGAAAAGTGAGAGCACTGAAAGCAGCTCGTTTTGCCGTGATACATTAAGGGATGTGCTCATTGCACCCAGACAAAACACACGTATATGTCAGCACCTGGTATATGGAGCTCCACCAGAAGTCAGTGGGAATGTGGGGAAGTCAGTGGGGAGCAGACCTCATTCCCTGCTGGCTGACAGCTCTCAGTTTTTGCAGCCACGGCCCTTTGACACAAACAAATTGCTGCCAGCCAGGACCACTGAAATCAATGGAAGTTTTGTTGTTGGCTTCCATGGGATGAAGGATTCAATCCGGCAGTCGATAGGGTTCGGGTGTCTTTTGTCTAAGTAGGGTCGTGTTAATACAGGAGGATGGGCCTAAATCATATCCATTATTGGGATTTGCAGCTGAGCATAAAAACAGGATTAAGGGGAAGAGAGAAACAATCCCAACAGTGAGCAGGGAGCCCCGAGCGAGCCCCGGCCATCAGCAAGCATGGGGCAACGAGGGGGGAAACCCACCGAGGAGGTTCCCTTCTTTCTGCTCCTTCTGCAGGAAACTTTGAGTCGTCGGCTCGTTATTAACAATTAGCAAAGCATCGGCAGAAGCAATTATTGTCACACTCATACAGATATTAATCGATGGCGCTTGTTTGCCGCTGCTTCTGTTCCCTCTTCTCCGACACCACAGCACCACCAGCAAATTGGGATTCGTGGTACATATGTTGGTGCTCCACTTAATAAAAAAGACACCTATATTTTCAGATAAACTTTGTTAGTAATTCATGAGGTAAGTGACTATTTATGCTAATCGGGGAGAAATACATTCTCGAGCGGAGCGCGTTCCATAAATTTGAATGCAAAATGTTCAATTATGAAGTAAATACAGGTAATGCAAATAGTAAATTACCTCCAATAAAAATATATAAAGAACGTGTCTTCAAAGAGAGCGCGGCTTTTATTTGCATCTGCGAGTTGCTTAAAGAGAAAAGAATTAATAAACGCCAAATTGCTGCCGCGATGATTGAGCTCTGAATGCCCGACCTGCGCTGGCTGCCCGCAATCACAGCGCTGTTCTGTACCCCCCATAGAAGGCAGGACTGTTTCCTCAGCAATTTTATCCCCGCCAGATTATCTCGTCTGATTCTATTAATTCTCTCCCATAAATCTGCTAACAGCGATCTGTGATTTACTCACCCTGTTAACTGATCTGAGGACTGTTAAAAGGATTTATCTGGCGCTGCACCTAGGAGCGGGTTGTGCCTTATCACTGTGCTCCGAAGAAGTCTTTCGGAAAGCAATTTGCCCGGTTCCATAGTCAAATTCAGTGGGCACTCTTTAGTTCTGCACCATAAAATCAGACACCGGGCAAACAAAGGGAGCGGTAACTGTTCTTAATGTGTTGTTCTTGATCCGCACCCAAAGCAGAACGCATAGTGGTCTGAGCTCCTAACCTGGAGCGGGGCAGGAGTTGCGGGGATGTGGGCTGTGCGCTGCCTGGGTCGGTGCTGGGAGAGAGAGAGGGGCTGAGACGTGGCCTGGTGGCAAAACCCGAGCCTGAATGGCTCTAATTGAAATGAAAGTGTGCGATTGTTAGGGGAGAAACGCTGTTAATAGGGGGACTGTAAATGTTTAGACAGCCATCGTGAATAGCCAAATAATAAAGGAAAATAGCACTACAGTGAGAATTACAGAGGGGAGGGAGGAGAGCGTTGTTGCTTCTGAAGGTTATCCAAAAATTGCAAATAATCCTTTCTTTCTGCTACGCCGTGCCGTTTTGGAGCGGCAGCTCTGCAATAATCACAGCAGAACAATTTTGTACAATAACTCCAGTGCTGCTCTGGAGGTCACAGCTCCGCTTGTACTCACTCACATCTGTGTGAAGGAAGAGGCCCCCCTCAGCTCACCCAAATTTGTGCTCTTTGTCTCAAGTTTACTCAGAAAGCTACTGGTTTGCAAACTGGATGCAAACAAACAGTTCGCTGGGACTGGAGCTGTGTTTCCACAGACATCCATCAAACATGCAAGTGGAACACTGCGTGTGTGCGTTCCAAAAAGCAATAACCTTCACTTTTTATCCCTCTCCTAGGTGAGCACATTAAGTGACATACAGTGCCTCCTTCACCTCAATCTGGAAAAAACAAGAGTTGGGGAATGGGGCCGTCCTGGGGGGTTTATGCTGTCAGTTGGGAACTTTTGCTGGTTCCAATGGTGTGCAGGAATAGGAAAGCCAACCCGAGTTGCGTTCAGTTTGTCACTAATTGCAGTTTCTAAGATAAACCCGGCAGATGTCCGGGTGTCTTTGGGGCTGTGCAGAACTACACTCCTGTTGTTTGTGCTGTCAGAGCATGCTTTAGCTTTGCAGAATCGCCTCTGCGATCCCATCTAGGTGTCGTTATCCTGCTCGCCGCGCAGCGTGCCCTCCCTGCCTTTTGGCTGCCGGGAGCAGCACAGCTGCGCGGCTTTGTGCCGATAATGGCACGGTCGGGAGATGTTATCTATTCGTGAGCCCACTCTCCCCGTACTATTTCCCAAGCAGAGAATTCTTTGGCTGTTGCAAACGATGCTTTTCACAGTTGGTGAAAAATTACCCAGCAACTCACCCGCACCTACAAAGTCTTATAAATAGCAAACTGCGAGGGGAAGGGGGAAAAGGAGCATCTGAAGTACAACGTTCAAGACGCCGGTTTAATATATGACCAAGTGTCAGAAGTCAGGTTTCTGAGAATTACTTTCCAGATAAACAACTTCACAGCACCGCACTTCATCTTACTTACTAGAGACACCCCATTTATCACGGAATTACAAGGAACTTTAATTCTATCGATATTCCCATAAAATCCAGCCTGGCAGCTCAGGAGGGGCACTGCGGGAGCACCGGGACCGCCGCAGCTCAACCCCCCGCCTACCCCCCGCCCTCCCCCCCCTCCTCACCCCGACGGCCCGGCCCGGCCGACAGCGGAGCGGCTCCGTTCGGCGCTGCGCTGCGGACGAGAGATGGCGCTGTCGGGGTTCGCACGGAGCCGCTCCGCCGCCGACCGAGCGCTGCCGCTCTCCGCCCGCACGGCCGCCCCGGCTCCGGCCCCGACCCCGGCCCCGCGCCCTCCCCCCTCGGAGGGGGCACCGGGAGAGGGAGGCGAAAGTCAGTGCAGTTTGTTCGCCACGGGGCCGAGTGCTGAGGGAGCGAGGCTTGAAAACTTGCAGGGTTCTTTGCTAACCCGGCGGGGTGTTGGGGCAGAGAAATGGATGCCCCGTGCTCGGGCGAGTAACACGGGGAGCGGCACGGACCCCGCGGGGCTGCACCCACCGCCCCCTCCCTCGGACCGGCACCGCGCTGCCCCATAGAGCCCCGCCGTGCCCTCCGGTGTCCGCTCCAGGGCAGGGGCAGCTCCGGGGCACCGCGGGGCGGAGCGGAGCGCTCACCCGACGGCAGCGCTCGGCGGGCGCAGTCCCGACGCGACGGAGCGGTCCCCACCCGCAGCCGCTTACCCGGTGCGTCCGGCGGTGGCGGCGGGCAGGAAGGGGTTAAGGCTCGCCCAGCTGACAGTCAGCTGATGGGGCCCTGATTGACAGCTCCCAAAAGTTTCCTTGTTCTATGCTAATATTCGCTGGGAGGGAGCCGCCCATTGGTCCGGCCGCGGAGTCCATTTGCCATTTGCAGGGTGACGTCAGGAGCGCTATAAAACTCTGCAATGCTTTTAAACTCTCCTGCTGGATGAAACCTTTAAAATATTTTTCATCTTCTTGCCGTAGCTGTGGGGTTGAGGGTTTGTTGGTTGTTTTTTTTTTTTTCTCTTCCCTCTCCTTTTTTTTTTTTATGATTGTTGTTATTTTGGTTGCGATATATCGACTTTGATTTGATTTTTTTTTTTTTTTTTTTTTGTCTTCGGTCTCTTCTCCCTCCTCCTTCCCCCGATGAGCTTCTCTCCTCGCTCTGCACTTTGCACGAGAAAGCGCAGAGGAAAGGCACCATGAAGTGTTAAAAATAACAAAACAAAAGCAAAAAAAAAAAAAAAGAGAGAGAGAGAGAGGAAAAAAATTTCCTCGCAACAACACCCGCGAACGCTTCCAGCTGCAGTTTGCGAGAGAGAAAGAGAGAGAAGGGAGGAAAGAGCCGTGCGTGCAGAAGGCACAGAGCCCCTCGCTCTGATGCAGCAGCGGCAGCGGAGGCTCTGCAGGGGATAACGCGGAGCGGGCGGAGCGCGGCGCGGCGCGGCGGAGGAACGGACGGACGGACGGGCGGACGGACGGACGGACAGCAAAGCTGGCTCACCCGGCGGCAGCGCAGAGCAGCGCCCTCGCTCCCGGAGCGCACCCTTTCTGGAGGACTGTCAGCAGCAAAAGGATGGCATCAGAACTGGCAATGAGCGGCTCCGACCTGCCCACCAGTCCCCTGGCCATGGAATATGTTAATGACTTCGATCTGATGAAGTTTGAAGTGAAAAAGGAGCCGGTGGAGACCGATCGCATTATCAGCCAGTGCGGCCGCTTGATCGCCGGGGGATCGCTCTCTTCCACCCCGATGAGCACGCCCTGCAGCTCGGTGCCCCCGTCCCCCAGCTTCTCGGCGCCCAGCCCCGGCTCCGGCACCGACCAGAAGACCCACCTGGAAGACTACTACTGGATGACGGGGTACCCGCAGCAGCTCAACCCCGAGGCGCTGGGCTTCAGCCCCGAGGACGCGGTGGAGGCGCTGATCAACAGCAGCCACCACCCGCTGCCCGGCGCCTTCGATGGCTATGCTAGAGGGCAGCAGCTGGCCGCGGCCGCCGGCGGCTCGGTGCCGGCCGAGGAGATGGGCTCGGCGGCCGCCGTGGTGTCGGCGGTGATCGCCGCGGCGGCGGCGCAGGGCGGCGCGCCCCACTACCACCACCACCACCACCACCCGCACCACGGCGGCGGCGGCGGCGGCGGCGGACACCCCCACGGCGCGGCGCCGGGCAGCGCGCCGCCCTCCTCCGCCTCCTCCTCGGCCGCGGGCTCCGGAGGCGGCGGCGGCGGCGGCGGAGGCGCCGGGGGGCTGCACCACCCGCACCACGGAGGAGGAGGCGGCGGCGGCGGCCTGCACTTCGACGACCGCTTCTCCGACGAGCAGCTGGTCACCATGTCGGTGCGGGAGCTGAACCGGCAGCTGCGGGGCGTCAGCAAGGAAGAGGTGATCCGGCTGAAGCAGAAGAGGAGGACCCTCAAAAACAGGGGCTATGCCCAGTCCTGCCGCTTCAAGAGGGTCCAGCAGCGGCACGTCCTGGAGTCGGAGAAGAACCAGCTGCTGCAGCAAGTGGAGCACCTAAAGCAGGAGATCTCCAGGCTGGTCCGGGAGAGGGACGCCTACAAGGAAAAGTACGAGAAGCTGGTCAGCAATGGCTTCCGAGAAAACGGATCCAGCAGCGACAACCCCTCCTCTCCAGAGTTTTTCATGTGAGTTCCCACAGCCTTGCCACCTTACCTAAAAGTTCTCCGTGTGAGTTGTTGTTGGGGGCTTTGCTAGAGCGCCGACCCGCCGTGCCACCTTGTATCACTTTTTGGTTTTCCAACTCAAAACTGCTTTCAGACAAACTCGGGTTTTGGGTTGATTATTATTTTTTTTTTTAAGGTGGGCCGGCTGCGTGTTGGCCAACCTCAAGTTCTACATCAGTTTCTTTTCTGTTTATTATTATTATTATTATTGTGGGGGCTTGCTGTTTTGTTTTGTTTTTTTTTTTAAATTTAAAAGACCCAACTCGCCACCAACTCAGTTCTTCATATGAAGCTTGCTCTGAAACCTGCCATCCACATCATATATATATATATATTTTTAAGTTCATGACTTGTATTTTTTTTCCTTTGAGCTTGCTGTGTCCAAAAGAGTCAGACCATATTGACGTTGTTTCATTTTATTTTTTTTTTGCCATCCTGAGTTCTTCATATGAGATTTGAGCTTTGCGAAAAGAAAAATAAATAAATGAAAACACGTTTAAAAAAAAAAAAAAAAAAACTACAAATACACAAAACAAAGCAAAAACCACAAAAAGAAAAACAACAAAAAAAAAAAAAGTGAATTTTTTTTAGACTCCAGCTTGCTGAGTTCCATCAGTTTTTAGCGTTGTTGTGCGAAACTAGAGGTGTAGCTCAACCTGCCCCAACCAGCCTGCATCAGCCTTCGGTGTGTCCATGTGAGTTTTGGCCTTAATCTGCCAAACGTGAGACTGTAGTCTGCCATTAGAATCCCATCCTCATCTCATGCATTACGCTTGCTATTTTGTCTTAGCAGCAATGAACTGTAACTGTTTCAAAAGACTATGAGAAAGAGACATTATATTAATAAAAAAGAAAAAAACAAAAAAAAAAAAACAAAAAAAACCCTGCATGCTGGTCATGTACGGTATAATTATTTTTTTTTCTTTTTCTTTTTTTTTTTTTTCCTTTTGCTTGGAAATGGACTTTTGGAGACTATTATGGCATGGCATTCATCCTTTTGTTTTATTGCCTCATCACTTTTTTGGGTTGAAAGCAAAAAAGTGCAACCTTTGATCTTCCTCCTCTTCCTCCTCCCCATTAAAGTTTGCATCTGCTCTAAAACTGCTTTGAGTCACTCAGAACTTCAGACTTCCTTTCCAATGCACTGAAGCATTCCCTCTTAGAAAGACATGCCAGGATGGATGTTGGTAACCCGATGTGGCAAAAAATAAGTAAATGAATGAATAAAAACACAAAGCGCAGAAAGAACTTTGGGAAGATGCTCAAATGCAAAATTCACATCCCGCTCGGGGGGACATTGAAACCGTGCTGTTGCCTAAAAGCAGTCTAAACCAATTAACTGTAGGTGATCTGCCCCATCTTTTGATTTGATTTCTTCTTATTATTTTTTTCCTTTTTACATTTGGTCATGGTCAAATGTGGAATGCTCTGGGTTCCTGGTATATAATTTAATTCTACTTTCTGTCATCTGTTAGCCCAGTTAAAATGTATGCTACAGATAAAGGAATGTTATAGATAAATCCGAAAGAGTTAGGTCTGTTTAGATGTAGATTTCTATTATTATTATTTTTTTTTTTTTAAAGATTGATGCACTAAATTGTTTACTGTCGTGATGTAAAGGGGGGTAGAATTTGCAACGGGACTGTTTTAAAAAGTAGTTTATGCAGCATGTGCTTGCAACTTACCTATAAGTTGGGTATATGTAGTCCTTGCTATACCACTGACTGTATTTGAAAACCAAAGTATTAAAGGGGGGAGGCACCCTTGTTTATATCTATAGGGGTATTTTACATTCAAAATGTATGGATTTTTTTTTTTTTTTTTCAAAATTGAAGTATTTGGGACTGAATTGCACTAAGATATAACCTGCAAGCATATAATACAAAAAAGAAAAAAAAAAAGAAAAAAAAAAAAAAGAAAAGGAAAAAAAAAAAAAAGGACAAACCTGTTTAGAACGCTAATACGATTTATGCAGTTATAAAAGATGGCATTACTGCACAGTTTTAAAATGATGCAGATTTTTTTACAGTTGTATTGTGGTGCAGAACTGGATTTTCTGTAACTTCAAAAAGATTCCGCAGTTTTAAAGGCAATAATCAGTAAATTTTATTTTCAGGGACTGATATCCTGTCTTTTAAAAAAGAAAAATAGAAAAAAAAATGGAAAGTAAATCTTACCACAATAAATATAAAAAAATCTTGTCAGTTACTTTTTTCTTTTACACATTTTGCTGTGCAAAATTGTTTTATATCTTGAGTTACTAACTAACCACGTGTGATGTTCCTATGTGCTTTCCTTTCATTTTTGACTCTATGGTTATATCGAAAGAGAGAATAATCTACAATAATAAACTGCATTTTTTTTTTTCCCCCCCGATTCTGCGCTCCGTTTCTTAGCACGTTGTGCACAGTCCCCTCTGGCAGAGCAGCGCTGGCGGAGCATTGAGGCTGGTTGAGGAGCTGACCTCGGTGATAGGAAGGAGGGAGATGGGAAAGGAATAGCGCTGTGCGGACGCGACGTTGCCACCCGTTAGAAACCAGGTAGATGGGAACCGTGGGCTCCCAGGTGCTGTGCAGACCTCGGTTGGGTGCATCGCTGTGAGGCCCCAGCGGGAGGGCTGCCCCGCCAGCCTGGCCCGGCCCCCAGGATTCGGGCTGCTTGGTGACGGGGCGAAGCCAAAGGGAGCACTTTGCATCCTCGTCCCGTCGCATCCCAGCAGAGCGTGCCTGTCTTGGGTCGGGGATGGCAGCTCATCAGGCTTGGCGTGTCACAGAGCTACGGAGCGTTAGAGCAGAAGCACTTCTTGCCATTGAGGCCCACGATGCCTCCTTTTACCTTTCTTTGCTTCCCCCCCTGTTCCACACCATTCTTTCGTTCACCTGGTGGTTTTTTTTTGTTTGTTTGTTTGTTTTGTTTCGGTCATTTTTTTCAAATTTTTGCTACAGGCCTTAGAGAGCCCAGAGTGAGCCAAAGGATTCAAAGGGCTTCCTCCAAGTTTTGCAGTCGGCCCCAGCAGTCAACATGCTGGAAGCGGTGCGCTCCCCGAGCCCCTCTGCGCTCAGTTCCCTCTGTCATCCCCATGTCATCCCCATGTCAGAGGGCACTGAGGCTCTGTAGGCTGCTCAGCCCC